TATATATATATATATATATATATATACCTACTATTTGTCTATTTTATTGTACATACGGATACCTATAGAATAATCTTAAAGAAATTTCTAAAGTAAAAAATAGATAAAAATTGAAAACTAATAGTAATTTATTAGAGATTTTATCAGGAACACATATCTTGTAATTTTACTATAATTTATAATTGATTAATTAAGTTAACACAAAAATAATATCTCTTTTGCATCATTATCATTAGTATAAGAAGCTTATATATTAAGATTTTGAAAATATTTTTCATATTAGGAGTTATCGGTATTTGATTCCATTAGTCCTTGTGTTGACGTACTGTGCTTGAAAATTATCTGAACATTCTGAATATCACCTGTTAATAAAAATAATTCATTAAATCTTTTTTTTCTTGATATTTATATTTCTAATATTTTTCCAAAATTTTTTAAATAGAAATTTAAAAATATAGAGGAAAGTCACGTATTATGAGATAGGCGCCTCTAATATGAGATAGCGGCGTTTCTATTAAATTAATCAACGCTATCTATTGGTTCCACCATAAATTTATTGCTCTTGAATTTAAAATTGTTTAGTGGAAAATTCGTTATTAGATCATGCATGTAGTTAATGTAAAAAGGATTTTAGAATTTTTGGATAGCTTCAAGTTTCATTGAGATGAGCCTTTAAACTTTGTTTATTATTTAATATAAGTAAATATTTGGCGATAAATTCTTCATGTAATAGAGTGAGATCGTACTAATAGAAAAATATGGGATATGTTGTATTGCTTAATTATAGAAGTTAGATTTGATTATCGTAAAACCATAAGGCGTGGAAATCGTAATATAAGATACCTAGAGTATTTCTAATATGAAATAATCTACTCAAGCAGAACAACAATAAGTCACGATAACGTCAAAATGACGTAACTTGTTGTTTTACTTGGGTATGTTTCTATAGTGGAAATCGTTGCTAAAGTATAAATGTTATTGTACAATAATAAAAAGAACAACCGCAATGAAAAGTGCCTGTTCCTGCGATGCTTGGTTTCAATACCTGAAGACGAGTTCTTGGATCATATGCTCATTTTGCACGCACACTGACTGTGTTTGTCTGTATTTAGAAAATATTAAATGAAGTTTTTTAATACTGATGTTTTGTAATACTGATGAACTTTGCGTTTTATTATCGATTTCTCGGAGCATCTCATATAAGGACAATTTTTTGACTTTGCGATTTGCTCACTTTTTACATTTCTTCAATTTAAAAAAAAATAGACTTTTAAATTAAATTTTACGTAACATAATTGTCTTAAAGCTTATTAAATTCCCTTCAAAATTACCTATTATTTTTTGAAATTCTGCCCATAGACTTCTAGGCCCGTATTCAAAACGCGCTTACAATTGTTGATGTTAACGCGCTAATGTATTTTACGTCACGCATATTATAGAATTTCAGAGATAAAAGCGCGGTTTTATCGATAAAAGCGCGTTCTGAATACATGCCCTAGTATTTACCCAAAATTAACTCGGTATCTCATAATAGGGGGTTTTCCTCTATAAATACAGATTTTTAAACAATATTAAGATTTTTATTTTAGACAGCACATATGTGAGAAACAAAATCTAGAAATTTAAAACTACTAGAGTAGTTTTAATTGCGTTTATAGTCCGGAAAAACAATTCGACTCGCAGTTTGAAAAGACTACAATATGGTATATATGCAAGTACATATATAGTGTATTCAAGATTAAATTATTTAAAGCAATGAAGATCCAGCTTCGACTGTAATAGGGATTTTAAATTTCTAGTATTGATTGTGTTTTTCACATATGCGGTCTAAATTAAATAAAGATTCTTAATATTGTTATTACGTTGCCTGAAAGAAAGACGTTGTTTCCTTATTGTACTAATTATTGTGAAAAATATTACTAAGGCCTCGGTGGTCTAATGGCTTAGAACGCTCGTACGGAATACAAGAGATCCGGGTTTAAGTCCCGGCCGAGGTAATATTTTTCGCAATAAATTTATTAACAGTTTCAACATATTAACATCTTTATAATATGATGCTTGATGGTAGCATCAAATTATTAAATTGCTTGTCAATTTAATTCGTCATTACTAAAGTAATTTTAATTGCGTTTATAGTCCGAAAAAACAATTCGGCGCACAGTTTAAAAAGACTACAATATAGTATGTATGCAAATACATATATAGTGTATATTAGTAATTCAAGATTGAATTATTTAAAGCAATGAAGATCCAACTTCAACTGTAATAGGCATTTTAAATTTTTAGCACAGATTTTTAATATATATTAGTTTAAATATAAATCTAACTTTTTATTTCTTATTCTTAAGCAATAATTGCTTAAGTGTTTTTTAAAAAAAACTTTTTTTTTAATTAATTGATATATTGTGTTAGGGTATCTATTTTTATCTTTTTATAGACCCATCTTACAATTAGTGCTAAATGAACATGTGTAATTGAAAAAAATTTTAATACACACCGTTATTTCAGAATTTAGATATAATACGTCTAATGAAAATTGATGATACGAATACCTAGCTCCAACTGTCTATTTCGGCGTTTTCGTAATATCACATATATGGTTATTGCTGTTAGAAGTAATATTCCACCTATAATTCCACTTATTAGTTTGATCATTTCTCCTTGATTCTTGTATTGATTTATATTGCTCAATGCGAGACATTCTAGTATAAAAAAATGATAGAGAAGTTCTTATTAGTTTATTGCGGAATAACATATCAAAAAACAATTAAAGACTTTAAAAGTTTGCGATACAACAATCAAGAAAATAATATATATTCTAATTATAAAATTATCAAATACTTCGTGTAGAATATTTTAGAACTACTGTTTTGCGTAAATTTATTGAAAAATTAAAGTAGTCTTAAAAAAATAATTTTGATATTATGTAGAAGAATATTAGCTATATTGCGAGTACAAATCTATCCAAGGAAACACAAGGAATTCTAAGTATAAAATTATTAGCGTTTTAACAAATTTGATCAACAAAATATGTCTCAAACTTTTTGGCTTTTTATAATTGATTAATTAAGTTCACAAAAATGATAATCTCTTTAGCCTCATTATCATTAGTACAAGAAGCTTATATATTAAGATTTTACAAATATTTTTCATATTAAGAGTTATCGACATTTGATTCCATTAAATATTAAATATTCAAATGTAATAAATTTGCTACAATTTTAAAAATGTAATATATTAATTCCTACTTTAAAGTGAATCTATTTATAACAAACCTTCATTCATTAAGCAACCAATTTCCGCCTCATCTTCTGTATCATTGCCAAACATCTTAAAACACAAAGTTTCATTGTTTACTTTACCAATGCATTCGGAACAAGCTGGGTTATTTTTAAATATATGCTCAATGGTAGCATTTTTTTCTTTTATAATTCTCAATCTGTAAAAAATGAATGATTAACAGATAACAGGCCTGCATGGTTTTGTTGATTGGGATTTAACTATGTTTTCTTACGTAAGTTTTCGCGCTGAATCCGAATCCGGCGGCAGAATTGCTCTATCACTTCAGGTTTTTGAGAAAAGTGAGGTTAAAAGTGTCAGAATTGACGTTTTTTGACATATTTGTGATTTTTTTGCTAGCGAAGTAAATTTTTTTTTCTACTTTCGTTTACGCCATCTGAAAGTGTCAACATTTATCTTCAAAATATATTTTTTTAACGCCGTACGTTTTTTTTTCACTGAGATAATCTCTGTGTAGTCACACAAAGAAAAACATTTTTGACACAAAATGTTTGTGTGATTACGCAGAGATTAACTATGTTTTCTTACGTAATTTTTCGCGCTGAATCCGAATCCGGCTACAGAATTGCTCTATTACGTCGAGATTTCTGAAAATGGCTTATTTGGCTGTTTTGGGTTAAGATTTCTCGAAATCTCGACGTGATAGAGCAATTCTGCAGCCGGATTCGGATTCAGCGCGAAAAATTACGTAAGAAAACATAGTTAATCTCTGCGTAATCACACAAACATTTTGTGTCAAAAATGTTTTTCTTTGTGTGACTACACAGAGATTATCTCGGTGAAAAAAAAACGTACGGCGTTAAAAAAATATATTTTGAAGATAAATGTTGACACTTTCAGATGGCGTAAACGAAAGTAGAAAAAAAAATTTACTTCGTGAGCAAAAAAATCACAAATATGTCAAAAAACGTCAATTTTGACACCTTTAACCTCACTTTTCTCAAAAACCTGACGTGATAGAGCAATTCTGCCGCCGGATTCGGATTCAGCGCGAAAAATTACGTAAGAAAACATAGTTCAATCCCAATCAACTTTCAACACCTCCAATTTTGCAGGCCTGTGTAATTCATAAGCGACTTATTTCAGACATTATCACAAAACCAAAATAATTATAATAATATAAAAATATCCTAACATTACGCTCATCTTTTTGTTAATAATGTTTCAAATTATCATTTCGTTACATTATAATACTTAAATATATCGTCCATTATAATTTTTATTATACGCTTTGCGAGGAAAAGATAAATTTATAAGTTACTTATTATGTATACTCACTGCTCAGTTCGATTATCTCCATCCTTCAAGATCAAGACACACAATGTTGGGCGATCGCAGTGTAATCCAGCCCATCCGTAATCACATTCGCAAGTCCTGCGTTCCTTGACGCACTCGCCGTGAGTACCGCAACCACCTTGACACGCGTGTACGCAGGTACTTTCGATCTTTATGAAATCAGCATAACATCGACACTCTCCTGGTGCCTCGCACTCGCCATTATCGCAATTCTCGCAATACGGCAGGCACCTGCTTCCGTTTTTCGTTCTATTTTCGGAGACAATCGAATATTGAGAGTCTTTTACTTCAAATTCGAGATTCGGATCCGCAGGAACAAATCCGTCGTTGCATTCGCAAATTTCGGGCGCAACGCACGTGCCGTTGTTACAAGTCGAGCAGACGGGCTCGCATCCGCCAATTTCTGCGTTTCGATAGCCATCGAAACACATGCAGAGATCCGGCGCCGTACATGTGCCATTGCCACATACAACGCTACAAATCGGCTCACATCTGAATGGAACGTTTTTTCTGTCGTAATAAACCATGCGATAACCGTCCTTGCAAAAGCAGAGATCGGGTGCTTCGCAAATTCCATTTGTTCCGCAAGCCGGGTGACAGATAGGGTCGCACACTGTCTTAGAATTCATCGACAGATGATAGCCCGGATTGCAACTGCATACGTCGGGTTGTACGCAGATACCGTTCTTACAACTTGGATTGCAAATAGGTTCGCAAAGGCTCGTACGATTTCCTTCGGTAGGTTGGTAGCCGGAATTGCAGGTGCATTCGTTTGGCGCAGTGCAATATCCATTGATGCAATCAGTCTCACAGATCGGCTCGCATTCGTTCCAAGAATTGGAACGACGATAACCCGAATCGCACATGCAGGTCTCAGGTGCGGTACAGAAGCCGTTGAAGCATTTCTGGCTACATGTAGGTTGGCAGACATAAGAACTTGACATAGGGATCGCCGATGTTGGATGATAGCCGATGTTGCAACTACACGTCCACGGAGCGCTGCAGAATCCATTTATGCATTCCATCTCGCAGATCGGCTCGCAAACCGAGCTGCTCACAAAATGTAGCCAATTCTGAAAAAATCAATTTTTCGTATAAATCTAAAGAATTAACGTATGAAGAATTAACGTATTCTTGAAATAACATTAGACAATAGAAATATTCGGCTTAGATAGAGATTTGATATAATTATTTAAAGTCACTAAAATAAATAGGTATAAATTCATTTGTCAAATCATAATTATAGATCTTATATTGCCGTCACGTTTCAGATCTAATATAGTCTTGCTAGTTTAATACTAACGATTTTCTCAATTTGCGTCTTATTAGCCAGGCGATATCCTTCAAAACAGGAGCAAACATCCGGCGCAGTGCAGACGCCGAACGGTTCGCAAGATGTTTCGCAATAAGGCTTACAAATGTGCTTTTCTGTCTCGTCTCCACTTAATTGGAATCCTTCGTTGCACATGCATATGCCAGGCGCAGTGCATCGTCCATTGAGGCAAGCCTTTTCGCAGACTGGTTCGCAGATATACTTTGAATTCTCAAGCAGTCCGTAGCCCGTGAGGCAGCTACAACTTTCAGGAGCCACGCAAGTGCCCATAACGCAAGCTTCACTGCAGATTGGTTCGCAAACGCTCGATATATAGATGTTTAATGAATAACCCTCAATACAGGTACATACATTAGGAGCGGTGCACTCGCCATACAGACAACCATACTTGCACGTGGGTTTGCAGGCAAATAAGTCGTGTGTATCAGGCTCGTAACCGTCATCGCAAGTGCAGATATTGGGGGCTGTGCACTTCCCGTGAACACACTCTCTTTCACAAATAGGCTCGCACATCTGAGTACAAAAAGGTGTGATCTTTATTAACATAATACTTTTCTTATACTCTTTTCTTATATTACCAGGTATGTAAATATGAAACCGGAATTTACCAATAGATGGCTATCAATGTAGTTGCCATCAGACCGCATCATTGACGCCATTTCCTTGTTCTGACATCTGACAAAGATTTTCAATTCACAACAATACAAGTTTCATACAACAGTATAGTTTGTAATAGCGTTGAACATGTCGAATTTTGTGCCTGGAAACTACGATTTGCGGACAGCATTGATTTTCTGTTACCATTTGAAGAAAACTGCTACAGAATCGCATCGAATGCTTGTCGAAGCTTACGGTGAGCATGCTCTTGGTAAATCACAGTGCTTTGAGTGGTTTAAAAAATTCAAAAGTGGCGATTTCGACGTGAGAAACGAGAATGTGGAAAACCACCGAAAAAGTTTGAAGACAGCGAATTGCAAGCATTGTTGGATGAAGATGACGCTCAAACTCAACAACAACTCGCGGATCAATTGAATGTAACACGAGAAGCCGTCTTCATACGTTTGAAATCCATGGGAAAGATCCAGAAGTTGGGAAAATGGGTTCCACATGAACTGAATGAAAGACAGCAGGAAAACCGAAAAACCACTTG